ACCTGCCCACCTCGCCCTCCACCCAGGGCTACCTGTCCACCTCGCCCTCCACCCAGGGCTACCTGCCCACCTCGCCCTCCACCCAGGGCTACCTGCCCACCTCGCTCTCCACCCAGGGCTACCTGTCCATCTCGCTCTCCACCCCCCGGGGCTACCTGCCCATCTCGCTCTCCACCCCCCGGGGCTACCTGCCCATCTCGCTCTCCACCCGGGGCTACCTGTCCATCTCAGTCTCCACCTGGGGCTACCTGCCCACCTCGCTCTCCACTCGGGGCTACCTGTCCATCTCAGTCTCCACCCAGGGCTACCTGCCCACCTCGCTCTCCACCCGGGGCTACCTGTCCATCTCAAGTGGTAGCTTGAGAACGGCAACCAAGATGTACTCTGTTACAAGCCCCAATCTGCTGTCCACAGGCACCTCATACCCTCAAAACACTTAACGGTGTGTGGGATGTGCAATGTTGGCTTGTAAATATGGTCAACTAACCTACTTTACAGCCTCTGCCATTCTGATCTTTTGATAGTTCTGTAAGAGAATAAGTTAAAAAGCCATACATGGCACATATCTGAGGAAAACCACATAGTGCTGTCAAAACTGTCACTCAATTTGAGACTATTTTCCTTGCATTCATGGTCTCACTTGGTAGCTTTGAGAAGCAAAAGAAACGTGTTCTTAAGCCATCGGTGGTGAGTACTGAACAGAGATGCAGGCCAGACAACACATGTGGGTGATCACATCGTTTGGCAAGGAAATGCCCATGAAGTGACAGAACAAATGGCATGCTGTGTGACTGTTAATTGATCAGTGATGATTACTTCAATTCTAATGATGCATGGAAGGTGACTCAGTGCTGACTGGAAGATGACACAATCCAGAGGAAAACGAGGACTTACCTAGTGTCCCATCCCCTGTCGCCTTGAGGGCATTCAACTCTTCTTTTGTCATCTTGGTAGGACCTTGGTATCCAACATTATTGAGAGTGTCTGAAGTCTCTCCATTGGTAGCTATTTCTGAATTTAGGATTATTCCATGTTTCTGGGAACAAAAATAGACTCATCGTAATACTTATTGAGTGATATCACGTTAGACTCTATTTTATTATTATTAATAATAATAATAATAAAAGAAACTATTTTTCCTGAAGTAGAGAAAAATTCTACAGTCAAAGAAGTGCTAGGCACCACACTGGTCAATATTCTATCAACACACACAAAGCTGGGATGTCTTCCTCCAAAGGCTACTTCTTTCTTACATGTGCCAATCCATGTCTTAATGGGCTGCTGACAAACTACTTTCTAACTGGAGGTAATGGCCTGCGGGCTGCCCCAAAGTGGCGCATCAAGCAAATCATTGTAAAGTGACCTTTACTTTTAAAACCCTGGCTGTATTCTTTAAAAAGGGAGACAGAGATAAAGAAAGAAGTATTTATGTGTTCTGAAAGGAATGAAGGAAACTTATGTTACTGAAGGAATTAAGCGATGGCTATAATGTCTGATATATTCAGAAGAAATATAATTCATGCTCACTATATAGCGAAACATTTTAAAAACAGCTACTCTCCACAAGTACATGATCCCTACTTTACCCTCGATCACTTACTCACTCCCCCCGGTCGCCCACAGGTCTTTCTCTTGTGCTTGGAGGAATTCCTCAACGCTGTACTCATAGCTTTGGTTAGGAACAGCTTTTTAAACCTGAGCTCTGAGCCTGTTCCCTCTGGTTTACTGCGCTGGCCTTGACCTCTGAATAGAAGCAACCGACACTGACATGTTTCCATTGATTATGTCCATGGCCATACCCTCTCTCAACACTGCCTCCTACAGTGCTGTTAGCCCACCCAGAGCTCTGACCCCCACCACTGCTCATTGTTTTTTTTTACTCACTGTCCAGCCAGCAGCCAAAGATCCCTTGACCTGACCCAGACAGGACATGGAACTTTCCTACAATCCAGTGGATCTCAAAGTCTAATTAATGTGAGCCTCATCCACACTGTTCAGCTAGAGAAGTCCTTAAATTTGAGCCTTTAATACAAAGAAACACATGCAGTCTCTAACTTTGAGTAATGTCCTAGAAAATTTATTAATGAATATGAGAAAAAATTTAAACAGTATATCAAAAAATTCTTGGAAATCAGAGTTACTTTCAAGGTCAGATACGCTTGTAAACATCTCAAGGCAATGGGCATATCCCCCAGAGAATCTACCTTTACTTCACATGTCCCTTTGGTGTCAGTTAACCTAAGATCTGAATTTACTGACAGAACTAAAATTAGTGACATATACAAACACATTCATTCTTGAGAATCCCCGAATTTGCTGTTGTCAACTGGATTTTTTTAACTGTACTTTGGCTTCATACCTTGAATTCCTCTTTCAGCGTGACTACTTCTTCTCTAAGATCATCTCGTTCACTCCTTATGGAATCAAAGAACTCTTTCTGCCTCTCTAAGGCCTGAGTGTATAGCAGAGCAAAGAGAGAGAGAAGATTCACATGGGTAAGCAGGTGACTTAAGAAGCAGAAATAAGGAGGAGGCTTCTACTAGGTAAAACATGGACAACGTTAAGGCATTAGAGAGAATCTGCTTAAAGATACAGACAAAATGCAAGTAACAAGCTTTTCATTTAGTTTATGCCAGCCAAGAAATGTGACTGTTCATGCTCCCTGAAAGATGTTAACACCTTGAACGTGCCGGAGGCCATTCATTTTGCATCATTTTCTAGCACAGTCGGCGGTTTCACAGCACTGTGTTAGAGAATTAACAGAAGCGATGCACTCGTTGAAATGTGGGATAAATAAAGAAGAACTGCTTAAGAACCCCCAAGTGACAACTATTTTAGCAATTTAGACTGCTTTTCTACATTGATTCTTGCGTTTGTTGTCACAGATAAACATAAAGTGGTCCTAAAGCAAACACACGCACACGTGCACAAAATCCTAAACAAGTGTGGATGGAGCATGTCAACGTGAAAACAAGGTGTAGCTTCGCCAAGTAAATGCACAACGATGTGCATGAACATCTGGAGGTCTTTATCAGGCCAGGCAGTATGAGTGCGATGTTTTGAAAGCCACTGGTCATTGTGGAGCACAGCAGTTCCTTTAAGTGGGTTCCTTTTTTCCTCCTCACCCCTAAATGCAGGTGGGCTGCCTCTTCTTTTCTTGTGGAGGGAGAGGGTCTGAGGCTTCCCCTGGGAGATTTCAAGGTGGGGATACATGGGACACAGAACCTGCCACCTTGCAGTTTCCTCAAACCCCTTTGAGAAGAAGCTCAGGTAACATGGGGCAGGAATCCCAAGAGGTTTGGGCCTCCACACACCACACCGGCCCCAGAGTGCCTCTCCTCCTCACTCCTCGTATCTCAGGGTGCCGCCTGCCCATTCACAGGGGGCAGAGAGCCCGCTGATGCTGACAAGACGAAGACGAGAATCTCCACACTGAAAGTCAACTTCCAATTCAGAGTTAATATCAATTTGGGAAAGGGAGTGTATTCACAGTATAATTAGTTCTGTGTCACATGGGGGTTGCATGCATGCTCACACAGTGTTTCTGCAAACCCAAGATTCTGAAAGCGCTAAATTCGCTAAGCAGACTGCCCATTTGAACAGATTTTCAAAGACTTGGAAGTCCTACCCCTATCTTTTTGTCTTTCCACTCTATTGTTTCCTGAAGATCAGAAATCTCCCTGATATAACTCGCCTGTTTCTGCTGTAGCTGTCGGATTTCCTGAAGAATAGGAACAGATAGAAAGAAAGCAGATAAAGGGTTAAACAGGAAGAAAAACTCCAGTGCTAGATAGTCTGAGAGTGCTGACAATCAGTGAGCCAATAAACACATGTGCAGGGACCAGCACCATTTATCTCCTTGATCCTGAGTCCATTCTTGGCATCCTAGGACTTTTTCCTTGTCCTTCTCCCCAGCTTCAAGAAATGTAGGAAGAAAACCTGCTTGGGTGAAATTCTTACTTATAGGCACTAAAGTTCTGATCAAGTTAAAAAGTTGAAAATCAAGCCTGTATTAGTTTCCTGTTGCCACTGTAACAAATGACTCAAATTCAGTGGCCTAAAACCACACAAATTTATTCTCTTACAGTTCTGGAGCTCAGGAGTCCAGAGTCTTATGGCTAAAATCAAGGTGTGGGCGGGCCTGGGTTCTCTTCTGGAAGCTCTGGGGGAGAATGTATTTCCTCCCTTTTTAAGCTTCTAGAGCCTGCCCACACTCCTTGGCTCATGGCCCCTTCCTCTCACGCTCTTACCTCTGCTTCCATGGTCACATCTACTTCTGCCTTTGACTTTCCTGCCTTCCTTTTATAACGACCTTTGTGATCACAGTGGGCCCACCTGGATAATCTAGGATGATCTCCCACCACAAGGTCCTTAATCACACCTGCTAAGTCTATTTTGCTGTGTAAGGTACCACATTCACAGGTTCCAGGGATTAGGGCGTGGCTATCTTAGGTGGCTATTACTTTGTTACGACACCTCCCCAAACACAAAACCATCAAAGAATGAGGATCTTCACTAATGGAAGGAACTGTTTTCTTAAGTGAGGCATGGAGAATTAGCCTAAACTCTCAATTTTCAAGCAAATTGGAGACTTTAGTAATGAACCACCAAATGCTCCTAAATCACAAAAGAAAAAGAAAAAGAAGAAAAAGCTACCGACCTCAAGCATTTCTTCTCTTTGCTTCAGGGCCTCTTTCACTTCAGCAAACTGAAATTGCAGTATACTGTGGGCGTGTTTTTCCCTTTCAAATTCCTATAAAAGAGGAAAAGGGTGCTAAAGTGGAATCACATTTTTCTGTCATTCTAGCACATGTTCCCATGATTTACATTTGCTTTGGAACAAATTACCTGTTACCATGTCATCACAATTTTCAAGGCCTTTTTTTTTTTTTTTTGAGGAAGATCAGCCCTGAGCTAACATCCATGCCAATCCTCCTCTTTTTTTTTTTTGCTGAGGAAGACCAGCTCTGAGCTAACATCTATTGCCAATCCTCCTCCTTTTTTTTTATCCCTTTTTCTCCCCAAAGCCCCAGTAGATAGTTGTATGTCATAGCTGCACATTCTTCTAGTTGCTGTATGTGGGACGCCCCCTCAGCATGGCCGGAGAAGCGGTGCGTCAGGGCACGCCCGGGATCCGAACCCAGGCCACCAGTAGCACAGTGTGAGCACTTAACCACTAAGCCACAGGGCCAGCCCCCTTCAAGGCCTTTTTAACAGCACAAACCCATTTCTCCGGACTTCCTAGAAGATGCCCCTATGATTTACTATAAATTTAACCTGAGGAGTTGATGCAACTGACACGTGTTTCCTAATTTCTCTCTAGGTAAGCAATGCCCTAGGAAGGGTCCCTCTTCAGGGTGCCTGGGGTAGTCCACAGGGCTGTCTGTGCGGAGGGCCTGGAGGAGGCAGCTTTGCAAAGGATTTATAATAAAATTATCCCTAATTTTGAAATTTGACAAGGAAAACCCTTTGGGATGAAAGGGGGGATAAATATAGTCTACTTTGGCAAGCTTATCTCATGAACAGTGGATGGCCAACACTGTACTCCAGGGACAACACAGAAAAGGTGGGGGAAGCAAAAGCACTTGCCAACACAAAGCTGCTCCCCCAGTCCACCCCTCCCCTCTATGAGACTCACCCCAGCCACCCGGCAACACGGCTCTTCTAGTCTCCCGCTCAGCTCAGTCCCAGTAGCACAGTCCCTAATGATGGTTTGGTACCCAACTTTAACTGCCAGCAGCACAGGGGACAGCAAGGTACACCTTCCCTAGACCTGTTAGCTGGGTTATTTTAGAAGAGATTTGACCTTAGCTTTTCACCCTGGCATCTGTTCACCCACCTTCTGAATTCTGGGGGTGACTAGTACCCTCCTAGCTGTGACAAGGACCTGCTAGTTGGACTTTGCTCGGCCCATGGCCCCCAGCTTGGGACAACATTCCAGGATCACTCAACGTCTCTGGAATTAGATTTGGGGGTTCTTGGTCTACTTACTGATGCATAAATGAGGACATTCTAGGAGTATTTAGAATGCATTACAGTACCCTTCCACCCAAGAGGGGTTCACAATATGCTCTCTGCTCCTATATTCCAACATGACATCGGGTCTCATGAAAAGTTTCTCCTTTGTTGCAGAGTTCAGCTATCAGGAACTTCATGGATAAAATTCTTCCTTAACTTCTAACTCAATTTGATAGCAGTCAAAGAAGAAAGCCTTTGATTGTTAATGTTACCTTCATTTTAACCCTTGGGATTTAGAGAATATAACCAGTTATCTTTTTTTTAAAGATAATGACACTCACATATTAAATTTTCTATCTCAGGAACTCTGAAAAATTGGACAATATTCTAGGGTTTGATAAACCAACTTTTTTTTTTTTTTTATTTTTCCCCTAAAGCCCCAGTAGATAGTTGTATGTCATGGTTGCACATCCTTCTAGTTGCTGTATGTGGGACACGGCCTCTGCATGGCCAGAGAAGCGGTTCCTCGGTCCGTGCCCGCGATCCAAACCCAGGCCGCCAGCAGCGGAGCACGTGCACTTAACCGCTAAGCCACGGGGCCGGCCCCCAACTAATTCTTAAAAATATGAAAATCAAGTATTCCTTGCTCTACATCTCACAAAGAACACCTAAGCCCAGCCTTCCCCAGATCAGTCTACTGTCATTCATTTCAACACATGTGCATGCTTTTTGCTGATTTCATAAATTAACACATTAATTCCAGTGCTTCTTAATGAAAGCCCAAATAGGACTCTCTCCCTCTCTGAGCTTAATGAACGTGTTTAATTCTTAAATGGAGTAACTGTGTCTTTTCCCAATCAGCAGAAAATAAATGAATATAACTTTCTTAAAATCTTTGATAGTTGCAACTGACTATTTCTCTATGGTGTTAAGAGACAAAACAAAAATCAGGAAATGTAGACTAACAGGAAAATCTTGGAGCATTCAATTGTGCCTTATCCAAGCGTGCTGGTTCTTTTGCAGGCATGTTTTTTCAGGGTTATGATTTTACCTTACATGCAAAACACGAATGTTCTCCTAGTAAAATTGTTTCTGGTTTACATATTGAAATTGTGCATATCAATATTTCAAGTCCCTCAGCAAAGAGCATGGTATTCTTATTTTCAGATGTTTCGGCTTCCTGGACAAGTGGAGAACCATTGTTTAAAAAAAATCATTTTTTATATATATATATACACACACACACATATACATGTATATACCCACATATACCATATATATCATATATGTATATATCATACCAAATATATACATTTATATATAGTCATGCACTGCATAATGATGTTTTGCTCAACAATGGACTGCATATACAATGGTGGTCCCATAAGATTAGTACCATATAGCCCAGGTGTGTAGTAGGCTATATATCAAGGTGTGTGTAAATACACTCTATGATGTTCGCACAGTGATGAAATTGCCTAATGACATGTTTCTCAGAACGTCCCCGTTGTTATGTGGCACATGACTGTATATATTCTACCTTTCTTATATATCCCATTTATATATATATTCTACTGTTCTTATATATCCCATTTATATATATATTCTACCATTCTTTCTCATACTAAAGCTTACTTTGTTTTTCTCTTCATATTGTCGCCTAGATTCAGCCAGCTGTTCTTCGAGCTCCAGCATCATATCTTTTAGGGTATCGACCTGGTACATGAAGTTTGTCTTCTCATTGTCTAGCTGAGCATTGGAAACCATAGCCTTCTTATATTTTTCTTCAACCTCTGCTAGTGAGTCCTGCAGAAACCAGGTCATACTTTTGAAATTGTAGTATGAAAATAAAAACAAAGATTAGCTCAATATTCTTAAACAAATAAAACTCAGCCCTAAATTTAGACTTTATTTCCTAGAGCAAATGAATCAGAACAGGAAATACAAGGCAATTTCAAAGGCACAGAAATTCCCCCTTTTCAATTTGATCAAATTCTCCTCACTCAGAAAACTAGTTATTAACTGTGTTGGAGGATGAAAACAATTCACAGAGTCACCAGGACAAGGGAGACACACGGATGGAGAGGGTTCTGTCCCAGAGGCAGTGGAGCCCCAGCTGCATGGTTCAGTGGCCGGCTGCAGTGGGTTGGGCTGTTCGGAAGGTTTCTGAAGTAACCACTCAAGACATGTGACCAGACCTGGGGAAGAGCCAGCGCATGATGGCTCAAAGAACAGAAACACCTGCCGAAAGCTGCCGATTAACCCTGTCTGGGCTTATGAACCAGGAAAGGATAAAGTGGAATTTCAGATTTCCGACTCACAGGAAAACTCAACAAGATACACAGGCCTCACTGGGTAGGTCCTGGAAAGACAAAGGTCATTCCTTTGAAAGCGCAGCCTGGGGAAAGAGGCCTGTGAAATAAATACAGCCCTCCCGGGGCACACACCCTTGCAGGTCAGGCAACAGAGGACAGCAGCATCTAGATCCCCAAACACAGATCAGTGACAGGCGACTCCAGAACAGAGAGCCGAATCCCGGGTGCAAACCACCCCCAGCTAAAGAGAGGCGGGCACTGCTTGGTCAGGTGTGTCAGTGCCACGAGGAGGCTTCGTGGAGACCAGTGCCAGTCCCACCTGCACCAGGACAATGACTTTAGGTGGGACCAGTGATTCCTGGGCTGGTTCAGTGGCTCCCTTTTCACATGAGTTGAAAGCCACAGTCGAAATTTTCCCCCTTCTTAAAGAGCGGTGACTAATACAAAAGTGATTGATTAGTCGTGTTGGAACAAACATGTCCCCTGTTTGGTGCCCCTGTGATACTGCGCTCAGACTATTTTTTGGGTACTTTCTGGGAAGCTGAAAAGGAAGTACCAGGCTTACCACCTACTGCCAGATCCATGATCTGCCATAAGCTGCCTAATGAAGACAGAGACCACAGTCTCTGACTATTCACCTTACCTTCAAGGAATATGACAACTAAATTTCCTGGTGGGCACAACGCAGTAATTCCACATTCTTTTTTTTTTTTTTGGGGGAGGAAGACCTGCTCTGAGCTAAAATCTATTGCCAATTTTCCTCCTTTTTCTCCCCAAATCCCCAGTAGATAGTTGTATGTCATAGGTTCACATCCTTCTAGTTGCTGTATGTGGGACTCGGCCTCACGTTGGACGGAGAAGTGGTGCCTCGGGGCGCGCCCGGGATCCGAACCCGGGCCGCCAGCATCAGAGCGCGCGCACTTAACCGCTAAGCCACGGAGCCGGCCCTCCACATTCTAAAAGTAGTGTGTAGTTACAAATAAATCCAAGATGATGCATATTCAGACATTAGTTCAATTAGTAAAATTTTACAAGATGCAAATAAGTTGGATGTTTCAAAGGCATAGCAATGAGGACTGCCTTACTGGTAGATGTCAGATCTTTTGAGAAGCAAATTAAGCAAAGCATTGTTTGTATGTAACTACTGCGCAAAGTGAAGAAAACCAAAAACCCTTCTTCAAGTGGATGGTGCACTACTGTGGGAAATCAGAAACTGGTTTTCAGCCACGGGGAGGGAGGGCGAGTACAAAACATGCACCAGGAAATATGTTAGTAACTTTTTCTACTGAGGAGTTATAATTTTCAAGTCTTGGTTCAAAAGCTGTGTTTGGGAAAATGATGAGCATACACACCCATGCTAGCGTTCCTGCCATTGTGAGTTCTTCTACAGTCTGGAGCCTTTTTGAGTAAGCATGCAGTTTTAAGTACTTCTTTAGGGTTTTTTAAAGTTAAGTTGGGTTAATATCATGAGGCCACACTTCTGCAAACTGGTACCTTCATCTCTTTCAATCCCTGCATGTATTTGCCTTCTACATCCTGAATCTGGTCCTTTAACTCACTGAGTTCCTAGGGGAAATGGCAAAAAAGGCAAATGACATCAAGGGAAAAAAAATGACTGAGACCACGAAGAAAGAGAAGTGATTCTCCAACTCTTTTCTACTTCTGGGTAGCTTCCTTTATTTAGGTAGTCTGAGCAGCAATGTTCTTTTTATTTTTTTAAGTGTTAAAGGAAATTAAAATAAATTTCAATATTACCAAGATGAAAATTTAGGCGTATCGCATGATCTTATCACACAATATTATAAAATTTAGGTATATCTCATATGATATCTTTACACAATTTTATAAAACAGGCAAAAGAGCTTCTTTTTTGGAAAATGGAACAAGTTATTTGACTCATATTTAATAGCTCATCCAAGCTCTATGAGTTCCTACTCTGTGAGATACAGTAAGATACTAAAGATAAAAATCAGATGAGCGCTGTCCCTGCATTTACAGGGCTGCAGGTCTCTGCTTTGCCTGTCTTGCTCACCACCACGTCGCTGGTGCCTGGAGTCTGGCATGAGCCAGACTCTCAATAAATGCTCGTTGAACAAATGAATGGCGCTCACAACCTAAGAGCAGAGAATTATGACTGCAGCAAACTCTACTTCGCTGTAGTAAAGGAATAAACAAAGAGCAGCCAAAAAAAGGTTCTTCTAAAGCACAGGAGTTGGAAGCCATCTTCAAGGGAACCTAGTGCAACCCCCGGCTGACGCTTACATCCCTTCTCTGACCTCCCTGGCAAAGGGTCATCCAGCTGTTCAGACACCACTGGCAGCCGGTTCCCTTTCTGACCAGTTTTAATTACTAGAAAGCTCTTCCAAAAATGAAGCCAAATCTGATCTTTACGTTCCTCCCTCTGGCCTTGGCTCTGCTCCCCAGAGGACACAAGTTCTAGTAACTGAACCTCCCTTTGCATCATCTCCTTTTCATATGCAATGTCCCTGGTGACTTTAACAAATAGTATTGCATTTCTCTGTCACACACTGAGAGTGCTCCCATGTGCCCGGCCCCACACTGAGTGTTAAGGATGTAACAGAGAATAATATGTACATTCCAGTAGAAGAACTAAAATACAATGATGGTTTATCTACTAAAGGCACATTATGCATACTACCAATAAAGAGGAAAAGTTCATTCTAGGCAGAGGGCGGGAAGCTCCAAGAGTAAGGTGGTAGGAAAGTACTCAGTGTCGTTGGGAGCACTGAGTAATCCGGGGCCCAACACATTCCAAAAACTGTAGACTGAATGTCTATGCATGCTGAGTATGCAGAGGTGGCGAGCACCTCATGCAGCGTGGCGGGGGCTCTCACCGAGGTGTGCCCGCAGAGCTACGGGGGGCAGAGGGTGCACATGTGCACAGGTCTGCCTGCTGGGGTTGGGCGGTCAGGGATGGCTTCCTGCAGGACACCATAACTGAGCTGGGGCTTGGTGTTGCTTGGACACCATGTTTGTGGGAGGTAGGGGAGACTGGACCGAGAAGAAAGATCTGGAATTTTACAAATTTAATCTTTTTTTACTTGAAGACTGATTTTCATGAAAGACTCCTCTAGGTTGTAAGTAAGTAGAGAGCCTTACCTTGATTTCCCGAATGGATGCCTCAGTGTCAATGGAGATGGAGGTGTCCCCACTCCCTCTCCGGGAGGAAGTCCCACCCAGGGAGGCCAGCGTGGCTGCAGACAGGCCGGGCAGGCTACGAGACCCCTGGAATGTTGGAAGGATCAAATGAGATTTCAGACAAAACCAAAAGTACTTTTAAGTCTATTATTATGGTACCTTTACTTGAATTCAGTTTCCAAATTAGAAAATCATCAGTGGGCTTATGGAAAGCAATAAAGGGAGGCTCACTTTGAGGGGCCTCATGGCTGCCTGGGAACTCGTCTGGATTAACCTTATTAAGCTCCATACTGAGCCCATCATAAATTCCTTCACTGTTCTGCAGGATTTAACACACACACTGGGAGTGACTCCTGGGGACCTCCCCAAAGGATGTGATACCTGCTGGTGGGCCACGTACTAGTCCTGTTCACTCACAGGTGAACATCTTTACCAAAGATCAAGCAACATCTTTTCTTGTCAGTTTCATCTGTAAATTTTGGGCCCTCATGGTTTATAAATGACACAATAGAAAGCCTTAAGAAATTCCTTACCTTCTCAGTGAAATCTTTGTCTACTCTATCTTCAACCTGGAGAGGAAAATGGACAAATATTAAATACTTAAAAGCATTAAATGGATAATCTGGATTTAGGGGGTAAAATAAAACTTTAGTTTCCTCTGTAATTTAAGAACCACTTTGCCAAGGAGACTCGGATACGTTTCTGCCAGGTGGTGCAGACACAGCGATGGCTGCAGGCAGCTCAGCACGCCAGGCTGAACTTTATTGTGTGGTTTTCCAACTTTTACAATTTCCACAGAAACATGATTATGTCTAAACGAAATACACACTGATCACAGAAAGATCCATAATGAGGGATCTGTTAATGGACCGAACTTGAACAGGTTTACTTTAGAGATTTCTACAGTTCTGTGCATAGGTCTCAGTGTAAGAGCGGACGACAACTTGCTTCCTCACTGCAATTACTATGATTAGAGAGCCAGACTATGACCGGGCTTCTGGGGGCTGGAAGATGCAACCACAGAGAGTTTTAATTTCGACTATCACTAAACTTGGTCTCCAGAGCAAGAGAAAGCAGCAGAGCCAATCACAACTCTTTCCACTTCTGAGTAACTGAGTCAATGTGAAAATGCTGGTCTAAACATCTTGGGAGAGATGCCCGGACATCCTGGGAACTGGTTGGTGGGTGAAGGTACAGGAGAATTTGCCAGTGAAAAGCGGGACCCCCAGAATTTGGCTTTTCATGTGTTTCCTGTGTACCTGTCTCTGAGGCCTCCACCTCTTCCCCTCCTCAGGTAGGAGTCTCAATGGGACCCACAATGGAGCCCCGAGAGGGTGCATGAGCGTCGACTCCAAGGCAGACCCCTGCACTGTGAGGGTGTCTCAGGGTCAAGAGGCCGAGGCTGGCACTGGTTCAACTTCTTTCTTTGCTCAGCATCCAACAAATGTCAACTTTCTTTTTCTTTTCTTTTTCCTTTTTTGGCACATTGAGGGCTCTTCCCCATAAGCCCACTGGGAAGGTCACAGAGGATGAGTAAACCCTGTGCTCAGCTGTGTCTCCAAACTCTCCGAGGAAAGCTGACAACTCCATCATGTCTCCAGTCCTACTTCCTGCAGCTCAGAAGTTCTTAAATTTGATTGCCAGGGAGCCCACCACAGACGCATCTGACAAGTACAGATCACATATTTGATTCAGTAGACATAATCGGGGACCTGGGACCCTGCAGGTCTCTTCCGTGCTTACGCCACAGACGGTCCACACTGCAGGTTGGGAAATCCTGATGGAGCTGGGTCCGAGGCCACGGCAGAGTGGCTCAGGAACACGTTAACTACCCACAGGGAGGTTGGTGCACAGGACAGCACCAGGGTGCCAAGCATGGAGTCAGGACGCCATAAAGGCGGTCATCTCCTGCAAAGACAACTACTTCCTGTCTTGGGCCCACCCTCGGCCCACGCTGTGCTGCACGGCCATGCCCTCATCATCCTGTCTCGCACCAAGAAGGCCGCCCTCCCTCCTCCAAACTCCTCGCACCTTCAATTTTCCCTCTAAGGGCAGGATGCCTGAAGTGCCACTGAAATAACACAGCAAAGTGTGACAGCTGATCAGCTAACCAAGGGGGTCAGTGCAATCGTACAAAACACTCGATTCATCCAAAAGAAGGCAATTTCCGAAACCAGCTCTCAGCTTAAGACGGCCAAGCCCCAGGGTCTCCTGCTCAACAGCTCAAAGTTTAGCCCCAGGGTCTGGCTCCCAGAGCCACTACATCTGGTCTCCCCAGTCTGGCCCATACTTGGGTCTTCAGCAAGAACTTTCTGCTCTCATCTAACCAGTCTCCTTAGAGTCCTAAGAGTAGGAAAGGAAATGAGAGTGAAGAGGCCACATCCCCAGGCCAGTGGGATGGACCCAAAGGCAGGCTGGCCAGACTCTCATTTGTTAAACAAGCTCTTGGATGGGCGGGGCTTCCGATGCTGGTGCCCCCTCTGCCCAGAGCACTTGCCTTTCCACTTGGCCAGAACCAGCTGTCCTCCAAGGGCCCGTGCAGGCCTGTGTGGCTCATGGGAGCTTTCCAGACAGCCTCTGCTTACATGCGTCCTTTCTCACTCCTTGATCTGGCTGTTATATCCCGTTAAAGACAGCTCCCTCCAACTGTGCACCATGCCACCTGCCTTTTGTTGGCATGTGTGTTTGGTATGTGTAAAAACATATAACTAGAATTATTATTTTTTTAGATGGGCATGCCACATCGCCCTAAGTAGATATTCTGGGGCGCCAAGGCAGCCTCTGATCAAGATGGTTCTATCTCTCCAACCCTGGAAGAGCCCCAGAGAGCCCTGGACTGATGTTCTGAGTTGCGATGATTTTAGCATTTCAAGGGTGGTTCGTCTCTCCACTTGGGAATAAAAATATTCCTGAAAATTTCAAATAAGGAAAAGCTAACTGTCTAACACCTGGTCTGCTGGGCAATCAATTCATTAAATCTCCTGGGCCCAAGGCCTTCATTCCCTAGAATAAGCTAGTTTGCAGAACAAATATTAATGAGATGAAAATAACTACTGGCAGAATAAGAAGATCCAGTTTAATAGACTATCAAGCTACCACTGAAAAGTCTGCTGCTTTTTTGCTCTGCAGTTTAAATAGTATCTTTTCTGACTGTTCATCAGCAAGAGATAAATATTGTACAGATAAATGAAGCTCCGGAAATCCTATATTCACCTACAAAGATATCTGTACGCATAAAACAGCCCCACATTTTTTTAGTATTTCTTGCAAGAAAGATGAGAAAAAATACACACCAGACCAAAAAACACTGGTTTTGTGGGGGCCTTTAACACATCTCTGTTCTGCGTTGTTTCACTTGATACCATAAACAGAAATATTGCTTTAGTAATTTGAAAAGCATCAAAAAAGGAAGCAAAAACCTAAAACTATAGCTTGCTCTTTAGTTTATAAAAAAAGTTTAAAACAGTTTAAAAAAAGCCTTTGCTCTGGGGGCCGGCCCGGTGGTGTAGTGGTTAAGTTCACGTGCTCCACTTTGGTGGCCCGGGGTTCGCAGGTTCGGATCCTGGGCGTGCACCAACGCACCACTTGTCAAACCATGCTGTGGCAGTGGCCCATGTAAAGCAGAGGAAGATGGGCACAGATGTTAGCTCAGGGCTAATCTTCCTCTCTCTCTCTCCCTCACACACACACACACACACACACACAAAAGCCTTTGCTCTGAAATACATAATGGACTCAGAATGTGAAAATTTAGGATATGTTTTTTTTTTTTTTTTTTAAAGATTTTATTT